ACGCCAGGTGTTTGGGCAAAACTGTAATCCGTCACTTAATTTGGTCACAAGGTGGCGGAGGAGGAGATCCCCCCAAATTGCTCACAAGGTTCGATCTGTGTGTTTGCTGCGCCACGTGGGCTGTCACCGCGCTCAGCGTGGCCCTCTCAATCTGACAGGGCAGACCGTGAGCGAAGTTGAATGTAAAGACCTTTGGGGTGGTGAGTTACTGTGATTACGTTTGCCATGGCTTTTTGACGCCCCAGGATTGGCAACTCTGGTCTCGATGAAGCACGCAGCAAGGCTGAGGCGGAACTTCAGGTTTCGTTCTCGGATGTTCCTGGCACTGTGTGAGCTGCCAGGCTGGCCTGCTGATCACCGGGTCTCGTTCTCGGGCAAAGTTCGCGGTTTGCACGGGATTGCCGTGAAACCTCAGGGACACGCTCTTTGTCGGAAGCTGTGGGCGCACAGATCTGCCAGGACCGAGGGATGTAGTGAGAGGAGGTAACATTGCTGCCTGGGCATTTTGCAACCAGTAGGATCTGACCCTCGCGAGATGATGAGCTCTCTGGCAAGGCAACTGGGAGGAAGACAGACTCAGCTCACCAGTGGCAGATATGGTGACAGCGGGCTCAGGCTGAGCACGATGGATCCTGCGGTGGTGGTTTGTCCAGGTCCTGCCCTTTCTGGTAGCTGAGAACCTGTCAAGCATGCCTCACATGCCTTTGGGATGGTGTAAGGTCATAACTACGCTGCGGAGCCATTCACTACCATCGGTGCCGAAAGGGTCACTGCCTGAATGCCGAAAGCATTCTTACCTGCGGGTGTTTGGGTGACAATTGGCAGGCTCAGAATGAGATGGTCAAAATGGGCCTGTCGCACTTTCCAAGTCCGCCGACAACTCAGTGTTCCTCATCAAGCCAGGCTGTGTCTAGGATTGTTCCTCAAGGGATAGATGCAACTTGGTCAGAGATCTTTCTTGCATGAGGAATTAGATGATGCGTCAGCTGCTGTTCCCAACTGCCAGGCTGCCTGTTCCTCCATGCGCAATGCGGGCGCCCTTGACAACATCTCTCAAGTTTACTACTTGCAAGTTTTGCATGCCAATATGTGAATGTGTGAGATGTGTGAGAGGTGTGGGGAAGGTGGCCAGAGCTGTGGCCCGAAGAGCTTTCGGAAAGGTCGAAGGGTTCGCATCATGAACCTCACATCCGAAGCTGGCCAGGCCGCAAATTCCCAGCCTCCGCATAGCATGCCTATCAGTGGCACGGCATGTACCTACTCTGTGTGTTCTCGCGCAGGCGCTGAACGGGCGAGACTGCGTCGTGGAAAGCTATGTTTCCTGTTTGCATAGTGGAGCATGAGTCAGCATGAGCAGTGCCATGCGTTAAAGACAATCTACTGTCTATAGACGTGTCTAGCCGAGATGGACGACAAAGATCGGTATGCGGTGAGGCCAGTTCTTGCGAGAGAGGCATGAAACAAACGACTGGTGTGTGTGTGTGTGTGTACCGTTCTAGATCAGGAACGCAGGGGGTCACTCCCAACCACACGCAGTTGCAATTTTACATGTGAAATTTCAAGCAGGGGGCACCTGGGGCAAGAAGAGGTCAGGTGCCAACGAAGACACCTCTTCATTGTGTGATATCAGCTCTGGACGCAGAGCTGACGTACCTGCAGAGACCACCCCTGTGTGGCAGATTAGAAAGACCGCCCCTGTGCGGGAGATTAGACGGCCATCGCTGCCATAACAGTTTTCCATGTCCTACATGAATATGAGCGGTGTTGCAATCAGTGCATGTGTGCGATTGGTGTGACAGTTTTCCACAGGCAGCAAAA